CGCAGTACACGTATGCACTGAAAGCAAGATGTTGCCTACCTAACAGGCGCTATCAGAGGATGCATAGGCTGAACGCGGCTGAACGTTTTGTGAATTAGGAATTGCAGGTTCGAATAGACGCGCTCGTTTAGTGCGGCACCATTGACTGGAAGATCGGTGGTTCGAATCTCCGTCGGGGCAAAATTTTTTTCTGGCCACAAAATTTCGAGTGGACTTCAAACCAGCCATTTCACCAGGCCTCCTTCGTGCAGTTCCTAAGGCTTAGTGGTTACATTCCTGGTTCCCATTGCTCTGAAAGGTTACGAGACTCGGCTCTTGAACCGGGGTTCGACTTACGGCGAAAGCGGGCCGTGGACGTGGGAGTTCCCTATGGATGGATTTCGACTTGCACGAAAAGCGGGTGTAAGCGGTTCGCTAGCACCTTGCTGTGGTGGCGGATGCGTTTTTAAGACCTAGGAGTGTGACTGTAACGGAACTCCATGACCTGGTGATGGGTCAGTACAGTTTAACCAACGCACGCGTCAACCGTATCAGTACCCCCAGGAGTGCGTTCTGACCACCGTGGTTCGAAGCGGCTGATCCCGTTACGAACTTAGAGGTCGACAAAGACTTCGGTGTGATGAGGAAAGTACTCCCCCATTTTTTTTTTTATTTTTTTTTTTTTGTCCGGCGACGTGAGCATTTACGACGCCAAGCAGACTTATTACTACAATCTGTTTGGCTGAAGCTGCCCGTGGCCAGCTAGGTACAACTGTGTAGCTGCAAACAGGGACGTATCAGCCACCTGGTAGCTAAACTGTGAGGCTACAAGCAGGGGCGTATGGTTTTGGGGCCATATTGAGAACTAGAATAGATCCCTATCTAAAAAGTATTAGTGGCGATGTCAACTCTCAACTGTCGTAAACATTCTTGAGCCGACCACGAAGTTTTAGTCTAGATACCCTCGTGAATGACGGCCTGGGGAGGACCCCGTTTACCCCCGCGTTGACCAGAGTTACCCCGGTGGCCCCCCGCGGTGGGACGGCGCAGCCACTCCGCGGGCCAGACGCGGGATGGCCCGCTGCCAGGTGGCGGGGCGCGGCGCGGCGCGGCGGGGCGCGGGGACGCGTCCGAGACCGCACCGCCCCTCCCCGCGCGGCAGGCCGAAGGGACACCAAACCCGCGCGCGCCGCACGCACCCGCGGCCTCACGCCCCGGACACTCAAAAAAATAAAAATAAATAAATGCAAGGATCCCTTGCCGCTCTCTGGCGCAGAGCAACATATTGGTTAGTTATGGTGGTGGTGATGGAAACGTCGTGTTTTATTAATTGTGTGACTTCCACCCCCTGCACCACAACATGGGGTGCCCTGCCCATGCGTCTCCCCCCGTGATTCAGGCGCCCCGTCGTGGCCCGTGGCGCCGGGGTGTGGCGGCGTGTGGCGCGTGCGGCAAAATGTGACGCTCGGATGCACGGCCGGACGGTAAAAAATAGACGCAAGTCCTACTGCCCCCGCCTCGCCCCGCCTCGAGTGGCCCTGTCCGTCCCTCCTCTTCCATTCCGCAGCAAAACATTGTTTATAATCTAGAAAGAAAATAATTCCTTGGCCGCAAGGAGTTGAAAGGAAAGTGTGAGAATGGGAGAGGCGTCCCGGCGGACCATATCGTACCTGTGGGCGCCCGTGAGGTAGGCAGCCCGACTTACATCTACACATCCGCCCACCGGCTGGTGGAACTGTACCCGGAGAGGAGAGGAGCACATCAGGCTCGGAAGGCAGAGCGGAAAAGAAAGGGGAACTGCGTTATTGCTTTGAATGTTAGTTTTAATGCTCTCTTTAAATATCAAATATCAATCTTAAAAGTAGTTGATGCGTCTAGGATTTAATTAATATACAATCAGGATGGCACAAAAACGACTGTCACCTACAAAGTTATTGCTTTTCTAAATTGCTAAAAAATACTTCATTCACAGGCAGAGCGTCACAGATGTAAATTGATGGTCTATTGGTGTCAGTTTCTCATGCAGTGCTCATGAGTGCTCACCATCAACAAAACAATTTTATGGTCTTGTGAAAATTAACATGATTGATATCACCACAAATCCATTCCCTCCATGGCCCACAATTGTTTTGATGAGTATGATAAGTCTTTATCACAGATATACATGAAAAATATCTTCAGGTATTCTTATCACTAGGTTCAGAAAAAATTCTCACATAGGCCAAGATAAATTTAAAGTGATGTGGCTCCCCCAGTATTAAAATGTATGGTAACAAGAATCAATAGATCAATCTAAAACACTGGGTAGTCATAGGAACAGGTATGTAGACTTAATATTGTTGTCTTCATTAGCCTCTGACATTAAAATCTAGGTGTCTTGATCAAATCTGAGTTCAGTTTCCATTCTTATTCAAACCTGCAGCTTCCAAAGGCTTACTAATTAATTTTAGCAAATTGAAGTAAGAAAAACACATTTGACTTCTCTTTACAGCACAGCTACTAGTGCATTCGGTCTAATTCAGCGTTTAAAAAAAGAAAAAAAATTATTCTTTCTTAAAAACTTTAAAAAGTGGAATAAAAGTAAAGCAAATATGTGTCTCACCGTACACAATGGTAAAAGATTTAGTCCACAAGACCCTATTGATGAAGCACAAAATAATTGTACCACTCTGGTAAAATATGTCTGCATCCTAATAAATATGACAGATTTTACTCTACGAGTATAGTCTCAACAATTTGTTAAGATGGCTTTAACTTAATTAATAAGTTAAGACCTACATCAGAACTACCTACTTCGGTGCGGAAAAGCTGTGAATGCTGCCAGGCAATATTTCCATTCCCACCACTGAGGTCGACTGTCAACTTTATAGACGAAGCACCACCCAAAGCTGTGGTAGAAATAGAAGTGTCTGGATTTTCTGAACAGAAAAAGGAAATGTTTATGCTATGAGAATCAGAAACCTAACACTTTGCAGCATTTATCACAACACACTAAAAAATGTAAATTATTTACCTGTAGGTACTTTAACACAACAATCAGCTCCACAAACCAGGGCATTAACTTGACCAGTTTCAAAGACTTTAGAGGCAAGCGCCAGTTTAATGCTGTCAACCACTAATCCACTCCCTGATAAGTCAACGCTCCAGGTTATTGATCCCTTTTGGCAACCCTCTAGAATAAAAACATGAAGTTTGATTATCTTACTAGAGATGATAGAGTACTAGAGGCCCAGTATTAATCAACTGACCTTTTCTTGCTAAATACACCATTTTCCAGTCAACTTCCTCTTTGCGGAATATGCTATTTACATTACTTGCTCCATTTTGCCAGCCCAATACAGGTCCTTCCTTTGAGTTTGGACCCCTTCTGTACTGGTCTAGACCAGGGAGGAATTGGATATGCATTTCCTTCTTTTCGATTTCAGACTTGGTTGGTTTCCAAATGTAGGGCTCATGTTCAGATGCTACTGATGTTTCTCCCCTGGATAATCGCCATGCCAGAGATCCCGACTGACGACCCTGATAGTTTCCATCTTTATCAGATGGTTCATTCCACAATTCTACAAGTTCAAAGAGTGTGCGCTTCCGAAGGTAGTCTTTCCTAAAATGACAGTAAATGAGTAATAAAGTAGACTACAAAATGACTAACTATATGCATGAAAAAATGGTAAACACTTCACTTCATTTAGTAACACATACCGTGCAGTGGAGAGATTCTGCTGTAAAATATTTCTCTGTCGCATAATAGTGGTAAGTAGCTCCGATTCTTTGCAGATATTTCTGCGCTTCAGAACTTCTTTGTGATTAGCAGAATAACGCCAAGTAACATCTTGTACATCATCAGGAGAATATGCAAGAATGTAAGTTAGCTTTTTCTTCCATCCTACTTCATACATGAGAGGAGAATCAAAAGCATTCTCACAGGGGTCGCAATGAACCCATCGTGATTGAGAAGTCAGAAACACCTATAGAATAGGGTAAGAAAAAATTTCAGCTATAGGTTTTATGGTACATCAGTCCAATAGGAGTGGTAATAACCACATACTTCGGTCCAGACATGATCAGTCTCATCAATGACAAGGCGGCTGTCCCATCCAAGAGCAAGACATAAAAATGTGAAGCATCTACCCCACTCCCCACATCGCCCATTCCTGGTCTTCAGCAGTTTCAAAGGATCTATGTGCCTTGGAAATTCAGTTTCTTGGAAACACAAAGCACACTCATACACCTGAAAAAAATTCCAGAGAGAAATGCGTAATTTTCAAATTGATATAGAAAACTCACAAGCTTGACAATGTAAAAATAAATCAAAATTATTTTTAACCAGACCCCAATTTGATGAGCTTACCTCCACTCTCAAATCATCTCTGGTATCTGTCCTTCTAAACTTCGTTTTCCCAGAACAAAAATGGCAAGGAGGATCATTCACCCAAGAGAAAAATTTTCCTTTAAACCAAGATAATAACTGTATTAGGAGTAATTCCTGCATACTTGGTTCCACAGAGACATTCTCAGTTTTATCCCCCTGTTCTTTTTTCACAATTTTCTGAATTCTACGGAGCTGTTCTAAAGCAGCTGTTTCAAGCTCAACAAGAGGAATGTATGTTTTGGCGATTTCAAGTTTTTCTTTTGTACTGTACACTAAAACAACATCTGAGGCAGAAATTATTCTTTCTAAGAATCCCGACTGTAAAGGAAATTATGAATTAGTACGCAGTGAAGAAAAATAAAACAAAATTTTACACATGCTTTTGAAAGAGATCCGTACTGTGGGTAGGCGAGGTTTTGATTTCCAAGTGTTTTCTTCAGCAGTCTGTCCACCTGATGTGCTTGGAGCACTTTCATCAGTGCCGGACACCTGGAAAAATAATATAATAATAGTATAATGGTAACAAAGACATACATACGTAACACATAACAGTCAAATACCTGCTTGTTTTGCGATGAGGTTGCTATTGGCTGTTGTTCAACAACAGAAGCTCTAGCTTTCGAAGACTGTGATGTGGCATCATCTTTGCTGGCAGTAGATGAAGACGATGGTGATGTTACAGGAGCAGGTTGAGTGGAAACGCTGTTTCGTCGAGCCAATATTTGATCATGAATTGCTTTCAATTTTTCCAAGTTTGAATTTCCAGGAAGTACTAAGCAGTCATCAGCCTACAGTACAAAACCAATTGATGAATACAGAGGATTACACAACTAGCCCAAAAATTATCACAGAGTATACAAGAAGAACTTGACAAGCAGAGGAAGAAGAATCAAAAATTGTAAGCGAAATAAAAAAATAGACAAACCTCCTTGAAGCCCATTTCAAAGAGGCACTCCATGGCACCCACTGCAGGAAGCAGTTTGTTGGCCACAGTAGGGTTCGCCAGCCTTATGCTTCTGTATTTGGGATCAGATGGATTTTTAATCACATTGTTGGCAAGTCGAAGCAAGACAGATGTCACTTCTAGGTAGAGTTCCCTTGGGTTCTCTTCTAGAGCCAGCAGTGAAGTGGAGATCACGGGTGGCATTCTTCTTAACTGAAAGAACCACTAGAATTCACTTGGCAGTTCCTCCGACGACGAATGTGATGTAACCTGTACAGCGACCTTAAACAGACACAGCAGCAAAAATAGCTCGAATTGGTTCTTTCTTCAAGTCTAGAGCTGTCAGCACCGAGCTGATGCTGTGTCACTGGGACTAAACACAATGATGACAACAAACATTGTCATAAGCAGGAAGCAGCGTAGTATTGGAATTACTATTGCTATAGGCACATTGCAGTTCATTTGACAGTATGTAAACAAACAGACATCATGCAGACGTACAACTTCTGCATGGCTTTTTATTTGAGTATATTGAGTGTCATGCAGCTTTGTCAAGCAATTAATGACAAACAGAATGTTCTTTTCATTATTGCTGATGATCTTCGCACTTCATTAGGATGTTATGGTGACAAATCAGCTTACTCTCCAAACATTGACTTCCTGGCTCAGCAATCCTTTGTTTTTACCAACGCATATTCTCAGGTCTGTTTGTATTATAATGTATAAGTGCGCCGCAGGCGTCGTTTCTCATAATATGCATGCTATGTTTTTTGTAAATACCTAATATCAGAACTGTCTTGACAGCAAGCTCTATGTGGACCAAGTCGAACATCTCTACTTACAAGTCGAAGTCCGCATCACCTAAATCAGTATGATGTTCACCAATATTGGCGTGTAACAGCAGGAAATTTCACATCGCTTCCCCAATTTTTCAAAGAGAAAGGATACAAGACAATCTCAATCGGAAAAGTTTTCCATCCGGGTAGGGGACTCAAGTTGTATCCTGTCGGACAAATTAATTTGACTGAACATTTTAGCCTTTATTTTCAACATTTAATATTTCACTGTAGGAAAATGCAGCAATTTTGTTGATGACCAGCCATTTAGTTGGTCTGCCCAGCCTTTTCATCCAAAAACAGAGAAGTTCAAAAACGCTCCAGTTTGTCCTAGTGTCAGTGGAAGTGGCCCCTCTGTAAGCATAGTCTGTCCAGTCAATACAATGGATCAGCCTCAGCAAACATTACCTGACTTGGAATCCTTGAGGGAAGCGGAAAAATATTTGCAAAATCATGTACAAGACACATCGGAAGAGCCTTTCTTCATGGCAGTTGGATTCCATAAACCACACATTCCATTAAAATTTCCTCAGGAATATTTAAGTAAAGTTGATCACTTTGAGGACACACTCAAAGAATAAGATAAAGCAAGCATGATTTGCATGGAGAAAAATTTTCTTTTTTCTTTTCAGATTACCATCCATTGGATAAAATATCACTGTCACAAATGAGAAGACGTCCACCAAAATTGCCAAGCTCTGCATGGAATCCCTGGTTCGATCTTAGAAAAAGAGATGACATTAATCATCTTAACATTAGCTTTCCATGGGGAGCAATGCCTGGTAAGGAATGTCAAACAGACTCAAAAGGTACATAGCTTTAAGTTCCTGATACCTTAACTAGTGTTATACTATTATTTTTCCTTTTATCTAGATGACCAGGCATTAAAAGTAAAGCAGAGCTATTATGCCTCTGTGTCATATATAGACCATCTCATTGGAAAACTGCTCCAAAAACTTGACGACTTAAAATTGAGAAACAATACTATCATCCTTTTCACAAGCGACCATGGTAAATTTAAACTTCCCTCAATAGTTTAGTAATTACATAGCTGGTTTTTGAAGTCTATCTATTCTTAATTTAGGATGGTCATTAGGTGAACATGGAGAGTGGTCAAAGTATAGCAACTATGAAGTTTCTACCCAAGTTCCTCTAATTTTATCAGTGCCAGGCACAAGAGGGCGCCACATTAAAAATTTGGTAGAGCTATTAGATATATTTCCAACACTTGTTGACATAGTTGGTATTGAGGGAGGAGTTCCAAAATGTATAAATGGGTACACTGACATTTTTTGTACAGATGGTAGAAGTCTGAAACCTCTTTTTGATAAAACTGAGTACAAGGTGAGAACCCTTTAATATAGAAGAAGGATAATGAAAAAGTGTATTTGCTTCTGATATTTTTTTTATTTTTTTTTATGTTGGCTAGAAGATTGTAAAATGGCGTGTAGGGGCATTCAGTCAATACCCACGTCCAGGAGACTATCCATCTCTAAACCCAGACTCAGATCAGCCGCACCAGCAAGACATAAAAGTCATGGGGTATGTATGAATTCATTTGCAAATCTGATTAAATAATAAGCCAATCAGATGAGTTTTTGGTTGAACCCTCTTATTCTAGGTACTCAGTTCGTACTTCTCGACATCGGTACACAGAGTGGGTTAAGTTTGATACCAAAACCATGACACCTAATTGGACTAAAGTTTATGGCTCTGAACTGTATGATCATGTGATAGACCCCAATGAGAACTTAAATTTAGGTGACAGAGAAAATTTGAACCCTCTAATTTTATCTTTCAAATCAATGTTGTACAAGAGGTGGAGTACGTAAAACAATAAAAAGTACACCGAATTTATATGTTGAAAATCAGGTTTGAAAAAATTGTAAAGTTTGTAAAGAAACATTAAGTTTATCTAGAAAGTGAGCGTTTTGAGAGCGAGGCGATTCTCTACGACCCCCCACCCCCCCTTATTCTGGCACATTTAACACTCTAGACACGCAGCTGACGAAGTCCTGCACGAAGGCGGCGAGGGGCGCGGGGAAGGACGCGGCCGTCATGCACGACGCGATGACGTTCCGGGCGTCGGCCGCTGACGCCCCGCTCGCCAGCGCCTGCATCCCACGCGCGGCGCACGAGTCCGTCTGCGGGCAGAGAGAGACCGTCGAGCGCCTGCAGGGTAGGCCGTCCCGTCGAGCTCCCGAGTGTGCGGGCCGCTCGGGCTGCCTACCCACAGGCGCCCCAGTACGTGCGGGGCGCCCCGACCCCGACTCACCTGCGCGACGTGGGCGTACGAGTTGTCCACGAGCATGTTGGGCGCCACGGTCCGCACGCAGCGCTGGAGCCGCGCTTCCTGGCTCGCAGTCTCGTCCTCCTCGCTGGACGCGGCGCTCGAGTCGCCGGAGGACGCCGACGAGGAGTCGCCGCCGCAGCAGCAGCAATCGGCGGCCTCGTGGCGATGGTGGTGGTGGTGGTGATGCCGGTGGTGCGGGGGCGGCGGCGGCGG